GATAACTATTATTTCCGTCGACAAAGCAGGGCAATTTGGAAACAGAATAGTCAGAACCCCTGGCACGTATCTCAGTTGGAACGAAATATCGGGTATTGGAACGGTCTAACGTGCAGCAAATAACGTTATTTTAATTAAATCTAACCTGCTATTAGTGCCATCTCTTGATGGAATTTATAAAGTATTGATATTGGCTGAGAATAAATATCTGGTTTCTTAAGCAGATTACAGCAGTCCATACTTTTCATCCCATTTTTCCTTGATTTTTTGAAAGACTCGGCATCGGCCGATATTTTCTATTAAATTTAAATTCAAATGGAATTAGGCTTAGTGACAGGGAGAGGTAAAAATTAGAAAATTGATATTGAAGTCAAAAAATTTTGATATATTTATTATGATTTGTCTTTTTTATGTATAATTTAATGCTTCTCTTTCATGAATAACTCTTAATTTCTCTAAACAACCATCAAAAATAAAAGGTGCACTTTTTAAAGTAGTTTATAAATTTGTAACGCATTACTTTTTTTAAATTGTATCATTCTCTCGGCATGAACGATTAAGCACTAAAGTATTGAAAATGATTCTAAGCTTTAATATTTCGTCTATCTTTTTTCTATTGTTTATCTTCTGCAAATGTTTCATTATGATTCATTTACCAACGCTATTCCTAAAAAGCAAGGGACAAAAAAAGGTAATGCAAGTTTTACTCGAATTGCATTAATTCAGATTTGGCTTTAAGATTAAAGAGTGAAAAAAAGCCGTCAAAAACAGTAATTACAACGAAAAAAAATCATTTGGAGAAAGAACGTCGTTTAAAAATTATAAAAAATTCTTTTAGAATGTATTATGATTTGTATCGGAAATGGAATTAGACGGATTTTTTTTTTGCTCGCCGGCGGATAATTAAAGAGAGTCTACAATGTTGGAAAAACATTTCTATTTCTATTTAATAAGTTCAACAAAAAAAACATTTTATGTTGCAGTTTGGCTTTCTGTTTTATAACTTTGAAATTTTTATTTTTCTTTACATAAAATGTTTTGATTTAAAAAAAAGTTTTATTTATGTGCATGCAGCTTATTTAAACTGCATTGTAATAATGCAGCATTATATATAAGTAATTAGTAGATATCTAAGAGAGAAAAATATTTAAGAACAACAAAAGGAAATTATAATAAAAGTCAAATGATTTAAAAACAATCACATGTTTTATATTATTTCTGTTCCTGTTTGACTTCCAGCTTTATGAAAACAGCAAATATATTTTTCCTAGCAAAATTATTTTTTTTTTATATTTTCGTTTTACTTATATTTAAAAAAACTATTTAAACTTCAGTCTAATTATTCAGCACATAATTCAAAAGCATTTTAGAAAGAAAGTTGTTTAAAACAAATAATAAAAAGAAACTTTATGGATAAAACTTGTATTTGGATGAATGAGAGTGTCAGAGAGAAGAAAAACAAATCATTTAAAAATCGATGTTCTGTTCTTTTTCTGAGAGCTTTAAGTATAAGTACTGTAAGAAGAATATACCTTTAGGTTACGGACAGTAACCGACAAAAAGTACTGTGGTTAGTAACCTGTAAAGACTATTAAAATGCAGGTCTATCCTTAAACTTTTTCTCATAAAATATAGTGTCTCTGACCGCAAATTAACCTTATGCTTGTAAATGTTTGTAAATGTCAGTTCACGTCTTGACGTTGTTTGAGACGCGGGCGATTTGTTTGTCAAATTTTTTTGGAACAAAGAAAAATCATAGTACAAAGAAAAGTTGACATTCTGTGAACTTCTTTCTCAGAGAAAGGAGCTGAATGTTAAATTTAATAGTTGAATACACTACTTTTGGGAATTCGCTACTATTTCATGCACTAGGTTTTTATTAATCAAAAAAAAAAGAAAAAAAAAGATCTGTCTGTGTAAGTGATTTATCTACTGATTTTGAAGTTCATTACAACCACGAAATCTGGACCTTTTTCCAAAAAAAAAAGAAAAAGAAAAGAAGGAGTTGACTGTTTAAAATAGTCGCCAACTCTCCAAATTTTGTGGAAATTTGAGGACAAAAATTTTTTTTAATACCATAGAAGCAGTAGTTTTTACTTTTAGAAAATAATGTATGCGTTTTGTAAGCACTTATGTCTGACAATGTCGTTGATTTGAAAGTAAATTGGGCAATTATCTTTATAGGAATTTATCTCAGTTTTACTTAAATACGATTAATGTTTGTTTTAGAATTATACATATTTTTTTTTATTTTAACAATTCAATAGAATTCAGTAAATAGACGTAATAAAAACTGTAACTGTTTCTTATTTCCCTCCTTTGTTTGATTATTTTTGTTTACACTCGTTTCCCAAACCCTTTTGGTTGAACTTTTCTTTATGTTACTAGGTTTATTATTTTTTCCTCGGTTCCTAATTCTTATCCTTTTCTGATTTTGTATTTCCATGAAAAAGAAGAATCTTAAATGTCGAAATTATTTGGTCGACGAACTTTAATGTACGTTTATCTTCATTCACATTCATATTATAGCAGAGAATCAAACAAAGGAATCCCCTCCTGTGTTTGATTATCTTATTCAAACTTTTTCCTCATCCCCTATTGGGTAAATAGTATGTTTCCTAGTTGCATCTTATTTGTATTTTTTTCATCTATTCTTTCCTCTTTTTCTCCTCTCACTTTGTGTTTCGACATTGAAGTTGATTTTTCAAGAAAAAAAAATCTGAGATTAATGAAAATTTTTCAACGTCAAAATTATTTGTTCTTTGAAATTATTATGTACGTTAGCATCCCATTAAGCAAGATAATCAAAAAACAACTCTAGTGTGTTGAAATTGTTTGTTCGACAAAATTATTATGTACGTTTAGATTCCTATCAAACAAGTAAATCAAAGAAAATTTCTCTGTGTTAAAATTGAATGTTTGTCGAAATTATTATCTACGTTTATAACCAAAGATAACCAAAGAGTATTCTTCTGTGTTAAAATCATTTTTTTCATAGAAACTATTATGTACGTTAGCTTCCCATTAAATAGGATAATCAAACGGTTTTTCTGTGTTGAAAGTGTTTGTTCGTCGAAATTATTATATACGTTTAGTTTCCCATTACACAAGCTAATTAAAGAAAATTCTTCTGAATTAAAATTGTTAGTTTGTTAAATTATTATGTACGTTTAACTTCGTTGAGAAAAAAAAAAACAAAGAATTATTTTGAATTATTATCATTTGTACCTCTTTTTTTTTGTTGAAATTCCTATTTCATTTCCTGTGATCAAACTAAATTTCATTAATCTAAAAAAATCCCTATTGTTTGATTTTGAAAATCTCCTTTGTTCGATTTTCTTGTTCAATCTTGTTTCTCATCTCCTAATACTATCTTTTTCCATGTTTCTACTTGTTTATATATGTTTTTTCATTTCATTTTCCCTACTAGTTTTTTTTATCATCATGTGTTTCGAAATTGAAAAAAAAAATTTAGTTACCAAAATTATTATCTTGATTTAGCTTCATCAGTATCCCATTACACAAGCTAAATATTTCTTCCCTTTCCTTGATTATTATGTCTAAACATCCAGTCCCTATTGGTTAAATCATCTTTTTCCTTGTTTCAACCTGTTAGTACTTTTATCCTTCTGCTCCTCTGTCTTGTTTCAATTGATTTTGCATTTCGACATTGAAGAAGATTCTAAAATATTTAAATTTTTTCGTCGACAAAATTGTTATCCAAATTCATCTTCATTCAGCTTCCTATCATACTAAAGAATCAAGCTAAATATTCCCTGACTTTAATTGATTACCTCCTACAAACTTGTTCTTTATCCTCTATTGATTTAAGCATGTTTTTTTTCTTGTTTCAACTTGTTTTAATTTTTTTTTTCGGTTCCTCTCTTTTTTCCTACTTTCTTTTTGTGTTTCAACATTGAAGAAGTGTTTTTTTATTATAAGGCCGATGCCATTGTACGTCTATCCAATGGCGTTATTTATACTTATTTACGTTGTCTCAGCTTTATTTTCATAAGGTATGCCCTTTTTTAAACTGGATTTTATAATGTGTAGTTATAAATTTCTGTAATGTATATATAATATGATTAAAAAATCAATCAGCAACTATGATGTAAAGTTTTTTTTAATGGCGGGCACTTGAAACTATTGTCCATTGGCCACAGAAAGTGCCAGAACTGCTAACTCTCCTTTAGTTACCCAGTGGGCACCTGTGGTGAAGCCACGGCGGTGGAGCAGCGTCACCCACGTCACACTACCACGACCGGTTTATAGGGAGGGTCCTATTCACACATTCTCACACAAAGGAGATGGAACATAGAACACAGATAGAGAGAAAGAAACATCCATGCCTCGCCCGGGATTCGAACCCAGAACCTTTCTGATGCAAGGTCAGTTCCTTGTCCCTTACACAGGCCGATCGGCCTATAATGTGAAGTAAAAATCAAAATTTAAAAAAAAAAAACAAGTTAACTGGAATTAAGTCTCGTGAAGGCTGAATAATAACATCAGAAGAGATACGATAAAAAGTGCTTAGTTTAAAAAAAAATATTCGAGTTTGTAATGATAATTAACCACTGAGTCAATCCAATTTACAGTAATTACCCAATTAACAAAGAGGATTATGATGTTGATATTCGATATTTACTTTACACATAGTTTACTATGTTTTGACTACATAATGACATATACTCGTATTTCCGATTTTTAAGATATCTATGTTTCTTAAAGAATCAAGCAAAAGTGTGAAACGGAAAAGTATCATAATTATGGAGAAAAAAATGCTATTTTACAAATCAGTGCTATTTTACAAATCTGAGTAACTCGCTAAAATTAAATTTCTTTTTTTTTTAAATTTTAGAATTCAAACAAATCAGAAAGCTAACATTAATTAATGCAAGTAGATTATTAGCAATGTATACTTAGTATTGTATAATTATTGAGAAACATCTTTTTTGAAAGTTCTGGGATGAAAATTGAATCAACCAATATTTTCAACTTACCGACGACTTCGAGAAAACCGATTTGACTCATCATTGGGGATGTGTTTATTTGGCACATATATTCTCCTTTGTCTGATTCTTCGACGTCTTTTATGTTTAACCACCATGTCCGGTGGCTGTTATGTGTAATACTGTAGCGTGTGTTACGAGTTATCACTTTGTCGTGCAGCGTTAGCAGGGTGTGCTTGTCCGTGTGAATCCACGCAACCTGTAAAAGAAAACTTTGTATTAAATTTTAGCATTAAAATTGTTTATCTATTCCATTAACTTTTTTCGATGAGAATAAAAGAAATAATATTGTTTGCACTAAAAAGAATGGATTTTAAAGATTTTCTTCGTAATTGATATCATCTTCCAGGAAATGGTCGGAGAATTTGGAAATAACTCCCGAGACTTGGAGAAATAGCTACTTACTTTTATTCATGAATATGCACTTTGTCAAAAGCATTAAGATTAATGCACCATATCAATCAGAAAAATTTATTTTCAAATACATCAGACGTTGAAAAAAGTTCCAGATCTAATTACTGCCAATAGTACCGGCACACAGGGAACCGGTACTTTTAACTTATAAACTCAGTTTTACCCGAAAATGTTACGGAAAAAAAATTATATAGTATAATTTTACAGCAATAAATACCGTAAAATCACTGAATCACTTTAATTATATAACAATTACCGTAAANTTTTTTATTCATTTATATATATATATATATATAGATAGATAGATAGATAGATAGATAGATATATTACTGTAAAATTTCAGTGCAATATTTTACAGTAGAAATACATTTAACATCTCTTACGGTCAATTGAATTTTACGGGTGATACATCCAAATTTCCGGTACTTCGTAACATACTTTGATCCCAATTTATTCACAGTGCAGATGAAAGGAATCACATATTTTTATTCCTTATTAATAATTTATATGATTTCTCCGGATAAAACATAAAACAATATAAAACAATAAAAAATGTTACAACAGAAAAGATAGAAAGAAACTGAATAATGTTGTAGAAACTGAGTGTAAGAAAGAATGATGAAAAAATTTTTTTTATCAGTCCACTTTTTCTACTTGTAGAAGCTGATAAAAAATATTATGCTTCCTTGAATTAAGACAACGTAAAGTTTGCACTAATACAGTGGCGCTTGCACTTATGTATAAAAGTTATTGAACACAAGAAACAAGAAAATTAACGTTTTGTCATTTATAATTTTGAGAAATATTTATTGCAGTTTTGTAATTTTAATTAAGTTTAGGCAGTTGCATATTTTTTCGTTTAAAGAACAATATGTATTACATTCTTATACCATTTGTCATCATACCCTTTTTATCGAAACCATTTTGAGAAATAAAAAACACACATTATTTGATGAAACCATGCCACGAAGCAAACAAGAATTTCATCGGGTCTATATTATTTATGGTAAAGAACGGTGCACATATTGCATCATATCTTTAGTTTCTTTTTCTTCGTGTTTCACTTCTTCTCTCCCGTTCAACCTTCGCCAATGCTTCAAACTTTTCGATTTTCATGAATAATGCATCGCCAAAACCTTCGACCGTAAACACCATAAATCTTAAAGCATTACGGCTATCCGAACCTTTAAGGTGATGTCTCGATTTCAGTCAAGACGGAAACATTGAACCGTAAATAGAGGATCAATATTTATTACCTCCCCCCAACTTAAAGAATACCCACCCCGTCTAACACCTGAGAGATTTAATCGGTTACCTTTCAAATGCTCACTGTTTTATCTCCCAACTTATCACTCATTTTTTTTCTTCCCTTGGCGATATGATATTGTAAAGTGATGTTCGAAATGGAGTGAGAATGGTAAACGATGGTAAGTTTAGGCAAAAATACTTAAACTTGAAGGTTTGGAATTTTTTTTTTAATGTATGTCATCTTTAATGAATCAATAAGGTTTAAGGTCATGTAAATAAGAATAAAAAAATATAATGAATTTAAAATTTTAAATTAAGTTTATCATTAAATTTTTTATGTAGACTTGAAAGGAGAAAAAAATTAGGAAAAAATTCTTTTTTTTCCAGGTATGAAACTATGCTTTTGTAAAGTAACTAGTAATTAGTATTTTTACAATTGAAATGCAATTGGATAGACAATTTCCAGTGGCGATAAGCGTTAATGACAAAATAGATGCGCTTTACCGCATTTCCACGTTAGTTCTGACAAAAAATTATTTTATTCGTTTTTTTCGTCCAGTAAAATTTAGTTTTTTAGAATTTCCGACTGGAGTGTATAACCATCAGGGAGCTGACCTCGCATTAAGAAGGTCCTGGGTTAGAATATGAGACAAGGCATGGATGTTCTTTCATTGTCTGTACTATCTGTCGTTACTATGGGAACAACGTTGACTCCCCTAACATGGTGCCTCTGAAAGAGTGTCCAGCATATTTGCCCTATTCATACCCTGAATAACGAGTTTCCAACAGGTGGACAGTGGAAAAAAATTTTTTTACTGTTATTTTATTATATTATATTCAATGCCGACAGGCCTGTGTAGGGTGCAGGGAACTGTCCTTACTTCAGAAAGGGCCTGGGTTCGAATCCCGGGCAAGGCCCGGGATGTTTCTTTCTCTCTGTGTGTTTTATGTCCTTTCTCCTTTGTGTGTCAATGTGACCCGCCCTATAAGCGCGTTGTGGTTGTGTGAATGGCGTGGCAGAAGTCGAATTCCTGACCATAGATGGCGCCACTGAAAAACAGGAACAATCGCACCCCCACTACCTAAGCAGGCAAACGACAAAAAAAAAATTATTATATTCAATAAAATTTCAAGCAGGATAAAATTATCGAATCGTTAATAGGGGGTCAAAACTATTTACGCCTTTCACTCTTAAAGATATCCAACCAGAGTAGTACCCAAAGAGTTTAATGGGGTACTTTTCAAAAGCTCACTATTTTGTTTATTACTTAATCACTCATATTATTTTCCTTCGGTGATATGATACTGAAAAGTAGAGTTAAAATTTAAAGAGAAGGCTGAACCATGGGAAAAATGCGTCATGAAAAATTCTGCTATACCTTCATTAGTTATCTAAAATATAAAAGTACGAAAGTTCAGGTAAACCAAAAGTAAATTACAGAGTTTCAAATGTTGAAAAAATTGCTTTTGTACTGTGTAATTCTGAATAATCTTGTCCTAATTTTCCTAAATTTAAATTTTTTTCAGCATTTGTGGTTACGTTTTTTATACTTCAAATCTTAATTAAAAATGCTTTTTTAATGAAGCATTTTTCCCACGAAAACAGAATTTTTCATGAAACGTTTCATTCGTGGTATTGTGCAATCTTATGCAAAATACTGGAAATCTAATGTTCATCAAAATACTAAATTTCTCAAGAAGAGAAGAAGGAAGTCTTTTATTTTGTGTCACACCTAAAATTAAAGAAAAAAGAATTAAAAAAAAACGCCGGAGACCAATCAGAGCAAAAGGCTAATATCCGAACATAACTTTTGAACTACTTAGGTATATCGAATTTTAGGTTTTTATAAAATTTTACTTCAAAAACTTTTCTTAAGTTTCTAATAATAGGTCTGATAAAAATAATTATAGCCTTGAAAACCATACTCTCAAAATATGTTATAAATATCAGCCGCTTTTATAAAATAAACAAATATTTAAAGATTTTACAAATTTTATTAGCTCAACATTTGAAATAAAAGCACAAAAACATATCATAAAGAATAATTTTAGGACAGTGAACAGTAATAAGTTTATGTTGGAGTATTATATGATGCAGTGTACCGTATTGGAGATCTAACTAGACGCACTGTGAGGCTTTACCAGACCCATGCATGAGGACTCTCATTACAGCTCAGGAGAGATTATGTTCATTCCAAATTTGTAAGTCTCAAATCTGTCAGTATCCTAGTGATTTGGATAGTTATAAATGGATTTTACGATCCACTGTCTCTAATATTGAGAACAAATTGGCAAGTGATATAACTTTACTCCGAATCCCTTAGTCGAAGCTTTTGTGTCAATCCCTTTAAAATTCTGAAATGCGAAACAAACAGTAATCTGATGCTCTCTGCAATTTTTCAAGAGTGTCATTAGTTTTGATTCGGCAATAGGAAGTGCAAACGCGTCGTTTTCATAAATATTTTTTATTGGCATTGTGATTTATATTTTTCACGCAAATTTCATTTTCTACTATTTTTAAGGACGCTGAAAGCATCTATAAAATATAAGTCCGAGTAATTCAATTGGAGTAATTTTTTTTTCTTTTAGGAAGATTTCCTATTACTCTAGATATTTCGTTATTAATTTCAAACGGTTATTAAAAAATTTAACTTTTCAAAAATTGCTCCATTTGAGACCATTTATATGTTTTTTAATGATTTAAAGTTGCAAATTCTGTAAACGTGATTAAAAAAAAGAAATGTCACAAAAAACTTTTATTTTCTGTTATACCAACAAGTGTAACAGAAAGGTTAAACATATAAGTATCTTTAATATACTGGTTCGTTTAAGGATCCATGCTCGTGAGTTTACGGGCAAAACAGTACTTTTTTGTGAAGCACATAAACTCATGATCTTAAATTCATATCTTCATCTTTTTTTATTTAATTTTTTATGTTTGTTTTTATTTTGCTTAAAAATAATATTTTTATTCTTACTGATATCCTTTCTGAAAGGCTATTTTCTATTAAATCGAAAAAAATCATATTTCAAACTTAATAATTGTAATTAAAATTCGAAAATGTTGATACAGTTTGATACGATCGATACATTCAAAACGAATGTTAGTCAAATTCATATTTTCTTCTTTAAGTAAAGATTAAAAGTTATAAATACAGCTGCTTATATTACATCCAAATTTATATACACTGTTAGAATTTCCATTCTAAAATTATAGTGACACAATCGCCAGCAGTCTATCCATCCTATTAACAGAAAAATTTGAAATTTACTTTTAACCTTATATGGTTTTGAAATAATTTAAAACTAGTGTGGTTAAAAAACCACGAATACAAAACAATACAGTTTTCTAACTATTCATGACTAGCATGGTTTTGAAACCATCAAAAAGAAAATTAACTGGATATTGAAGGTAGCTTAGCAGTTCTATGATGCTTTCATCTATGTGGGAATGAGAGCCTCGTGTTTAAATAGTCCAGGGTCACAAATTGGGGAGTACAGAGCGCTGGAAACACTTCATGTTTTGAAATAAATTTA